CTATCCTTGAACCCTTCGTAGTATGGCAAAAAACATGCTACTGACACAGGCAGGTTCTGACTAGCTATCACCACCCCAAATTTCTCTTGCATGCGTGGGGCAAAAGTGGATTTTATTCGGTGTCTGTTGCATATACATCATCCATTTTAGAATAAATTACCCTTATAGTTCACATCTAGAACCAGTTCCCACTGTGGTATATGGCCATGGGACAGACACTCCTTGCATACCTAATGCTGCTACCACGTAGCTGTTAGCTCAACAGACCCACAGTACCTCACATTGTACAGTTATCAAAAACAGTATCATGTAGATCACCTCCTTCAAAAGTTTCAGAACAACAGATAAAGAAATACTTCTTGTTGTGCACAACACAGCTTATAGAATTTACTACCAAAAGTTATCATTAAATTTAAAGTGCTTAAGAAAACTCAGAAAATTGTGGAAGTTGGCACAAATTGCAGGAACATAGTATAAAAAACAAGTTTGTTGGGAAAAAAAAAGACATTATTTTAGATCAGAAAGCTAAAATACAAAGGTAAAAATAAACTTTCCCTGAGAGATCCTTCTTGTGTGCCCAGCTGCTCTAAAACACTTGTATGTTTTTGATCATGAGCATTATCCAAGTGAATTCTAATGAAGAATGCCATCCCTTTCAGGTAACAGTAAAAACTCATTCTAGTGAATTTTAAGTGTCAGCATTATTTTATTATGTACAATTTGACCCATGGGAAGGGTGGGAATTTTGAGCAACAATGATTGTTCATTTAGAGTCAGATGTTTGTTTCAAAGGCTTTGTAGACGGATAAACACTCTAAACTATTGAATTAGAATGGTAGAGGTAAGCAGTGCCCAGAGGCTTTCTATCTCTCCTGACAATGCAATCCAAAATTTCCACATGATTTGGATGACAGAAGTTCAACATGTCACCCTTCTCCTGGCTAACCGTTCTGCCAAGTTATTTACTCCTTCCCTGTGAGAACTGCCAGCATTACCTTGCAGTTTCTCTAGGTAAAAGAAATTCTTCCAGATCACATGGACTAGTTGGAAAATACTCCCAAGAAACCAGAGATTAAAGTGACAGGTATCTACTATTTATAACATTTTGCATTTAAAAAGCTGAAAACAAGAGAATTTATTACAGAATTTTCTTAAAGTCCATGGACTTTCAAGGCAAAGCATGATGCTTCAGTCATTTAAATTTCCTCACATTTGGGAATAAGCTGATTAAACATACGCACAACAGATGATGCCAAATTTGTCAGAAGCTTAGTCTCCTAGCAACAGGTATGGTACAGCATTAGTAATAGATTAATGACATACACTAATAGATTAATGCCTTGAAGCTATGTACTGTTATAAAATCTTAATTTTAACTTATATGTCAACTGCACATGCAGAACCACAGAGGTTTTTCAGTTCAGCAATTAAATACTCTACCTTTCTGTAAAGTTCAAGAGCAAAACAACTTGTGTAAGTAGCAAAAGCACAGAGGTCTTCAGGCACCCAAAGTAGCAATTGAGCCTGAAGATCATTGTAGGTCCCTTCCAACTGAAATAAATATAATGTGCTATTCACCCACATCCTTTCTCATCTCTGACAATGGTTAGCATACAGTTATTCGACACAAGAAAATGATGAATACTTTATTGCAAGGATCACACCAATGGAAGTGACTGGAATAAAGCTAAGCACAGCAAAAAGAAAACTTAAGGCAGAAACAAACTAATGCATACAGTGAAATGAATTTGTGCAATAAGCTTCCAAAGTGCTGGAAAATATTTCATTTTTGTATTTAAATATAGTAATTTTGCTCTATTTAGTATTTACCTTTCACTAAACTTGGCCCATAGCATACTTTTTCCTCCCAACAGTGAGTAAAAAGTTAATACAAATTGACGTTTTGTTTCGTAACAACTTCCTCTCTCATCAAGCACAACAATTAATTTCTAATCCAGCTGGAAGAGACTAAATTGCAAAATAGAATATTGATTTGCATTTGTATTCACTCTAATTTAGAACTGCATAGTACAATCCAGGTGTTTAAGTATGAGACTGACACACATAAATACTATCCCCATTTTTAAAACATCATTCTTGTCATAGTAAGTTATTTCACAGTTCACATGCACATAAATAGCTCTTAAAGTCATTGATGTAAGTCATATGGAGTACAGATCTGTTTTTAATAACTTGCAGCTAGTAGTGCAGCTTAGAAGCATCTGCTTCTGTAAGCAAAAGAAATCCTACATATATTTGTCAAATCTTACAAATATCAGCAAAGCAAGTCCCCTTACTGCAAATATCAGTGCAAGATACAAGCACTCAGGGGAAAAAAATTTTAAAAAAAATTGAATGCAGTTCACAGAAGCTTGGCATAGACTTACTTTGTCACCTAAAGTCTCTCAAGTTTCTGTCCTCATTAATAACATGTTAGAATCCAGTGCCAGCACCTTGCCATTTTAAAGTTGTGTGTACTTGTTCTCCACTGACTAAAGCAATACAGTGCTCCATGTGAAGAAACCTGCCCAGCCAACTTTTAGATTCCAGCCTCATCCAGGCAACCTCAATTTTCTCCTCCTTGCAGCATAGAATTCCCTGATTGGCACCCGACCCTTGCCTCTGCTCTGCTAAGAAATCTAGTATGTCTGACAAAAGAAGAAAGTTGGGGCTGGTTAGGCCATGGTATTGCAGTGAGAATGAAAATTTTGAGCAGCTTTGTAGGGAATATGAAGGCTGGATGAAGAATTCAAATTAAGAATTAAATAGAAAGATAAGGAAAGGCATTCAAGAAAGAAGATAGGATGCTGATAACGAGTCCTTTTTTTTTTGAGGAAGAGAAAGGAAAGATACAAAGTCTTAAGAGGAAAAAGGAAGAATGAAAAAGTTCACGGTAGCTATCACAGAAGAAACAGTCTGATAAATCACCAATAAAATATAATTAGGGTTCAGGTTGACAGAAGAAATTCATCAGAGGAAGAGCTTGGAGGGGAAAGATTGCTTAGGCAAGGAAAAAGGAGCAGATAGTCCAAGCCATTTAAATTCTGCTTGTAGGCCTTTATTTATATAGGTACAACATTAGAGCTCTTCCAAAACTGATGTAATCACAAAGCATGACAGAATTCACTTGCCAGAGAGTAGGAATAAACTGTAAGGAGAAAAAGCGACAATGTGTTTATACTACAGTGTGAGTAGGAGAAAGAGAATGGGGACTGACTGCTCCAGTCCTGTTAGCACATCTGGTCTTAAACAGCAATAAGTTACTTCCAACTACTGGAATAGGATAAATAGATCAAATACATTTTTAATGTATAGACTGAAACAGTGAAAGATTAAGGACTGAAACCCTGATTGCCATTTTGCTGGCCAGAACAGGAAATACCCTGGATTTGGGGGAAAAGACAAACCTTGCTGTAACCTTAATGTGATCAGATTAATTTTTTTTTTCTTGTTTGTCTTATAAAGATTTTATTACTGTTTTATGATTTGACTTACAAATGAACAGTTAAATTCTATCTTAACCTGCCTTGAAATTAAGATAAAGACCATTAGGCCAGACTGAGGTAAGTAAATAGACACTGCTTTCAGAAAATCATAGCGTGCTTTGGGTGGGAATGGACCTTTCAAGGCCACCTAGTCCAGCTCCCCTGCAGTGAGTGTGGACATCTGCAACTACGGCAGGTTGCTCAGAGCCCCACCCATTCTGACCTGGAAGGTTTTCAGGGATGGGGCTTTGTCCACCTCTCTGGGCAACTGGATCCAAGGACACGGCAAACTGATAAATCAAGGCATCTCAAGAAGTCTCAAAGTTCCTCAGCACAATCTTCCCCATGTCCAGTGAACAGGAGGGTGGGCATGAGCCAGCTGGCACTGTACATTAAAGAAGACATCAGTGACTACCCCTAACTAACCCAGAAGTCTTCCCAGACTGAAGATATTTCTGTACACACCTGAACTCAGAAAATCAGAGAGGAGCACATCACAGTTTGCACACATGGTTACACCCACAACACTAAACCCACACGTCTTTCCCGTCAAAGAGAATAGGACAGCAAAGCTTTCTTATGAAAGCCAAACCTAATTTACCAGGACCTTACATCTAATTCCGAGCTCAACAATAACTGAAGGGTGTTTGCAGAGTATTTAAATAATGCACTGTAGATGTTATTAGCTTTAGGAATATTTAGCACTAGCTAAAGAACTCAGCCAAATCAAGTGTTAATGGCAGGCACGAGTTATCAGAACAGTCAGTGTATCACCACCCTCTTAGCCCGCTGAAGACTGTTGCCTGCACTACTGCATTTTCTTGAAACTGGTCAAAACTGTTCTAAGAGACAATAAAGCTTGCACAACCCTGTTAAGACAGCGGACATGATGTCAAAAAAAGAAAGCGAGAAACACGTCCTTCTTGCCCTTACAGATCACCAGTCCAAACCTGATGAAACTAGAGGATGCCATTTTAAGGAGATAGCTGCCATTAAACTGTGAGTTTAATGAAACTTTGGTTCGTGCTGAAGAAAGAAATGTTACTTGACTTTTAAATGAAAGTTAACAGAACTTACGGGCACTGTTTCACAGAAATAGTTCCTGAACACTCTAAATGCATTGTTTGTGTTTTTATTAGGCTGCCTCAAGAGCAAAAGATGATTTCTGATTCCAAGGAAGCTCTCTCATATTTCAGTACTGCTCCAACTCATCTATAACCATGACTTTCCTTACCTGCTGCCATGCACGCTCCTTCCTCCTTTAGGTTCATGTAGAATATATTCCTGCACTACTGCACTGTGGATCCATCCAGAACCATGAAACTGGATACAGGTTAAAATTGTGACAGGCACTGCAACCGTAGCCAACTAAATTTTTAAATATCTAAAAGTAACTTTTGTATTGAACAGGTTACATTTAAGGGAGAAAATCTTACCCAGGAAGGACCATAAGATTCAGACAAGGTAACAATTCACAGCAGTGTAAAAACCAGCAACTAGTTAAAAAGTAATCATTTATTCAAGAAAGCCAGACTTCCTACCTTCACTACAGGGTGTCCTCCAGTAGATGCTTTTACTGCTCCTCTGCTTCCTTCTGTTTCATAGTGAGCTCTGTGATGAGTTTTAGGCTGGACTTCTATTTTGAGTTCACACTGTCCATAAAGACTTGGTAAAGGCCAGTCAAGGGGTGGCAATGAAGATGTGCTGCAATAAAGATGAGCACACTATGTTTATATGAACTGTGCCTTTTGGCCACACTACAAACAAAGTAACTTTATGGAGAAATACAGAAAATGATATCACTTTCCTAACAAGTGATAGCCAGATAACAATAGATATTGCCATAAAACTGTTACTTGAGAATTCAAAAATTTTGCTGCTGCATTAGTCTTCAATTAAGTATTTTTTTCTGGGGTTGCTTGAGTGGAATTTCTTCATTCCAATACCTGAATGGAAGAAACACAACTGTACAACCTCCCTGCCCCACATTACCTGTGCTGTTCTACAATGCCTTTACATTCATTTCTATCCTCAAATACATCAGCAAGGATATTCAAATGTTTTTTAGAGGGAACAGTCTAAATTCAATCTGTAAGTCAATAAAATTTAACCCTCTGTATTATTATATTCAAGACTGTTTGTTTTGTTTTTCTAAGATCGGTAAGCACTGTGCTTTGTTAACTATCACTAAAATGAAGGCTATGTGATGAACCAAAATTGTAAAGCTGGTAGTCCTGTCTAAGCAGAAAGACAACAAAGATACCCAAAGTACACTCCTATCTTATTCACAAATTATGTATACCCTTAGACACAGTAGCAAAGTCACTCAAGGGAAGTAGAACAAAACGTAGCAACAGAAGTAATAGGAAAGAACCTCAAAGGCAAATAAGGCACATGATATCACCAATTTTTTTCATACCTACCCTTTTACCTGCACAATTTCTAGACTCACAATTCTAATAAGATGAACCGCCAGATTCAATCAGTAATTACCTGTTAGGGCAAATTAATTTATGAACATTTAAAAGTGAACATTTATAGCGCTGTGTACCAAATAAGAACATTTACCTAAAAATGAGCTTCTATGAAAATAGTTTTATACTATCTTACTCTGACCAACAGGGAAAGCAAATTAGGTCTTAAAGAGGTGGACAAATATAGGTTTGTATTGAGAAAGCTTGATTCCATTTCTTTCGGCTTTACAGGAAGTCAGGAAAAGCCTCACCACCAATCTGAAGCCATACAAATTTCCATGAACATGAATAGCCACAGGTCCAAGAAAGATAAATTATACCATCTGGTGCATTTAGCTAAGACATATAGAACACATCCGCAGGTAAGAAAGAAGATAATGTTTGGACTGAACAAAAAAGAAAAGAAAGTTCTCTTTAGCAAGTATCTGGATGGACTTGGGCTCAGTCTGCAGCACCATACGTCTACCTTTTACTACAAAAATGACTGTCATTAAGCATGGAAAAAAGGGAGAAGAAATGGCATCACTTACTGGCCTCCTCCTACAGGAGAAGAATCTATAAGCCTGTTGACCTGCTGCTTCATGGACTACATCTACGGTATGCTTCAGGAGAGCTAATGTTATAAGCCTTATCAACTGAAGCACCTTTCTGAGAGAAATGGGAGGAGTCATTCCCTTTCTTCTTACTGAAAGGAAGAAATGTGAGCGATAAATCATCTCTACAAGCATCCAGTGTACAGCAAAGACTCTTCTTGCCCCAGTACAGAGGTCTGATGACTGGTCCTTCCACAGCAATAGTATTTACTGGGTAGGAGAGGACTGGCTATGTCAGCAATGAAAGAGGGAACTGACAGGAATGCAGCATAAGCCCAATCCTTCCAGACACTTACCACAGGCCAAGACGTACTGCCTAATTGCTACTATTGGCTATCAACTAGACCTTGCCATTCACTTTTATAGCTACTGAAGGAGAAGAGGACTCAAGTCTTCAGTCTGAAAAAGGAAAGAAAATGGCAAGATTAGAAGATACTAAGAAGAGTTTAAAAAGAAATGTAGCATGCGAGGAATTTCTCTTTAGTATTTCTGGAAATCTTTCACCCCCATATAACCAAAGATTCTGTGTGAAAATAATTGGTACACACAGTTAACAGATACAGTCCCTAAGAGAACTTGCTATAACATGCACAACACAGAATATATACTGGTGACTGGGAGGGGCTACAGAAAATTTAATAATAAACTCAGTCAAGAAAAAAGTATTTCTTGCTTGTGACCACTCTCCGTACAGTCTCTGAGAGGGTTTAACTAATAAAAATGTGGCACAAGCTGTATCAGACTACCATTATCTCCTGAAAAAATATTTTGAATACTAGGACAAACACAGAGACAGGAAAATAACCAAGTCTCCAGATTTTGTCATTCTTTAAGAACAAATAGAAAATATCAGCATGAGAGAGCAAGCAAGCACACAACGCACGTGCAGATGCCAAAAAATTCAAAAATTGGAAGGCTTTCAAAATACAGTTCTCCAAATAAATTGCACAGCCTTTGAGGCCAGACTGCAACTAACTTGATATTTTCTAGATGTTGCAGGCTAGAGAGTTACAGCTGCTTCCCTTTGGAGTTTGATGTTGGATACACAAGCTGGTGTTTCTCTCTGAATATTTTTCTTGCTGTCTCCATCACCCTCAACTTCTCAGCAGCAGCGGAATCTCAAGTTTTGAGGTACATTATCATGCACCCTTCTGCCCTGAGAGAATATTTAATACAGTTTAATGTATTTCTGCTTCCACACCACCCTTTTAGTTTTTGGAGACAAATGCTGCAGAGATACACACTGAACTAGATCAGTGATCTAACTTTATTTCATTTTAAAAAGTAAATTTTTCAATCCTATAAATTTACCAGACCCCCAGTCATCTATAAAGCTTCTTCAAACAGAACTAGTGGGAGGCACAGTGGGAACTTTCTAGCCAGCACTGTCATCTTCTGAAAGTCACATGAACCCACAAGCTTGGACACTAAATAAATTTTAAAGTATCAGAATACATTCTACATTTTTTTTCTTTATATACTATGTAGAAATCAATATCAATGAGAAGAATCTTGTCAGCATTTGAGGGGCAAAAGGTAGCAAATTTGCTTATAATTTTAAACACTTTTCAATATGAAGCAATGCTATTTTTGGGTCAGATGTTGAACCCAAGAAAGTAAGTCTGAAGCTGTTATTTTTACTGCATTTAAGCATCTGTTCTCAAGAAAATATTTTTTCAGTCTACACTGTTAAGGGAGGATCAGCTAAATTGCTATACTTTAACTCACCACAGTTATTTTATCAGCTGTAAATTGCATTGAACTCCAGTGATCTCTGATAGGTCAGAATTTAAATAAGTTCAAATTTTAGTGCTGATTTACTCTTAAAATTCTTCAAATGTCTTTAATAGGAAGTTCAACTACTGAAATCAACAAAAATTCAGTGTTATGAGATTTCTGCCTCCCTCAGCTTACACACAGCAGGATAGATGATAAAGACACCTAACTGCATTCAGAACCCAAGCAGCTGCTGGCTGTAGGGTTCTTTCAAGTCATTTCAGATAAAACTATTAAAATAAATAAGATCTTTTGTTACTTAAAACCCCTCACTTTTCAGACTTGATGGAGGAGGAACACATTTGTAGACACTTTCACATGTTTTCTTACAGAATTCTACCTGGTTCACTACCAAATTCCTGTTACAATAGCTTGTGATTTAGTCTTTCACAGAAGCTTCTCTAATTTTTTGTTTTCTTTAAATGAGTGAAAACCTTATTAACTATGCAGTAACCTACTAGTAAAGCAGCAAACCACATGTCATGAAACAGAAATAATGAGTGACTGTCATTCTAAAGCTTTCATTAAAACAAACATTAGCATGTTGTTGAAACGGCACCACTCAGTACACCTACAAACAGCAATACCAAGAGAGTTTTATAATCTGATTAATGCAGGCCTCCAGAAGCTCACACTCCTATCACATCAAGATTAAAAGCTTCAGAGAACAGCAGCCGCTATTAAAGGAAACTCTGAAGTAAAGAAGGAACCCTTCAGAGCACACTTAGCAGAAGCCACTGCATTTAAAATTATCAGTTTGGCGATATTTTTATCAATATTAATTTAACAGATACCTTTCCTCCTCTGCAACCTTATTTCTACAACAGAACTGATTCAGCCACACAAACTGATAGGGAAACATCTAATGTTCAGCATAACAGCAGCCAAATGAGTCCATACAGACTTCAGTATTCAGACCTGTAGAAATTGGGGCCCACCTCCCCCAATTATTCTTGCTCTCTCACACAGCAAGAATAAACCCCAGAAACAAGATTGTTTGCTTTCATTTGACAGTGGCCCCACAGCAGTATCTGTAGGACAGAAGGAAGAACAAAGCCTGTGAAAGCCACTAAAAATAATCCAGTTAAAATCTTCAACCAGTTACGTTCCATTTGTAGCACTCTTGCTGGGTAACGGATTGGACAAATCATGGGGCCTCTGCGCAGACAGACTGCTAACACTGGTACCTCAGCTGAAGCACAGGCACAATTAGCTCAGTTTTAGAACACAGGTGGAACCAGTACAATAACTCATTTTAGCTCCTCTGTACAAACATGTACCCACCTCTTCCTAGTCAACAATTCCAGGAATAACCTTTCAAAGATACCAACTAGGATGTCAAGATGCTTGCAAAGGTTCATGTTTCCTTTGTTGGTTGAGATTCACTGATCTCCTGGAGTGATTCTTTCATTATTTCTTAGCTGCAGTGAAAATAATGTTTTCTGCTTACGTCTCCTCCCAACACATCAGAAGTGGAAAATCTCACTGATTACACAATGGATATCCCACATCTTTTCCTCATCCTGAGTTTTTGCAGAGACTAACCAACAGGGTATCCTGTGACATGTCAATGTTGCAACACAGCAGACCCCCAAGAACCTCAAATCATAACCATAATCCAATACTACGGACCTTTTCAGGAATATGTGAAGAGCCAAAATACTGCTGTGGTTGTTCTTCACTAGCTAGAACAAAGCAACATTTTCCCTGGTGGAGTAATTTTGAAGTTAAGAATTTTGGGGCCATCCCAGTTGTCACAGTGGCTTACCAACAGACTTTGAAAACATAGTTAACAGTGGGTCTGCTAGTAGTAAACAGCAGTATTTTGAACATACCCAATATTTTTAGAGTATTGATACAG